GGGACAAAAGCCAAAAGGTGTATTTCTTAGAATGTCAAGCACTGGGCTGGGGAGATAGCTCAGTGATCTAAGCGCCTGCCTGGCGAGCACAAGGACCCCGTTCTATCCCAGGTACGACATGCCACGAGCCGGCCTTGGACACCAGTTGTGGTGGCGCATGCCTGTAATCCCAGAGCTGGGGAGGCTGAGATAGGAGGATCGCTACAAATCGGAGCTGCATAGTGAGACCCTGTACCAAATAAATGAGTAAATGATAAAAAAAAAAAAAGTCAAAAGAAAAAAGGGTGGGGAATGGTGTATTTAGCTCATAGCTCACAGAGGTTTCCCAATCAGCTGCGTCCGAGGCAGGGGTCCTTGTGGAGGGGAACAGTCCACGGTGGGCAGAGGGCAGCAAGGCAATGAGCCAGGGCCAACCACAGCTCTTCCCAGGGCAGGCAGCATTCACACCCTTAATCCCAGGGCCCTTGGTCCTAGCACTGTACCATAATCAATCCCAGCACCACACACTCCAGATCCAGCCTCCTCTGAGGAAGCCCCACCGTGACCGCGTGAGGCTTGGTGGGGAACATAAGACACAAGCTGCAACATGTGGAAGGACCCAGAAAGATAAAATATCCAGGTTCGATTCTTGCTTGATCACTTGCCAGGGTGTGCTCCTCCGCCAGTGGCTAACCTAGTCTGATCTGAAGCTTGTGGAAGCTGCAGCGTGGTCATAAAGGCAACATTTACTATGCTACAAGTGTTGAGGTCACGGGCAGGCCAAGGAAAAGCAGGTGTCCACTTGCATTCTGGAAGAAGGGAGAGAGGGAGGGCGGGCCGTCCTCCATGCCCTGCGCTGCACACATAGAAAGCAGCAGACGGCTGCATCCTGCATCCGTACGTCATGTGTGCTACGCTCCGGCGGAAGGCCAGCGCAGCTATATGCTGCAGACGCCACGCCAGCCTCACGCACCTGCCTCTGTGCCCAGCGCCTGGCCTCCCTCCCGCAGACGCAGAGGACTGGCCGTGTCCCTAAGGCCAGCTGAGTCCTGGTGCTCCATGCCCACCCATTTCCCGCTCGTGAGGACTCCGCTCTAGCAGTCGCCTGCCTGCCCTTGCATGGCCAAGTCTTCCATTCCCTCCCGGATCATCCGCGGCATACAGATGTGCTGTAATCGTTTCTGCCATTAGAAGCAAAGCTCTCCCAGTTCCACATCCTTTTCCGGCTGCCACCCCAACTCTCTTCCTTTTTATGTTAAAACTCCCCCAAAGTGTGAGTCTCTCCTCTGCCGCCGCCGGCAGCCCAGCGCCTCCCTCTCCCCCTGGAATCCAGCCCAGAGCTTTCGCCCTCCTTACTTCATCAGAACAGGGTGTGGGAAAGTCACCAGCTAGCTTGTGCCATCCATTGCCTCCCACAGTCAGCCCTCAGCCCTCCTCCTCCTCCTCCAACTCCAGGGGCAGCGGCTTCAGCATGTGACCCACACGGCGTCTGGGACAGCCCTCTTCAAAGAAACTTATGATGGTGTCCAGTTCCCTCAATCCGAGGAAAATTAAAGCTATAGAATTCATGATGGGCTTTCTTCACTCATCTTCCGAGAACCCACTCCTCCACGCAACCACAGAACACTGCCCCCCAAGTCTATCAGCTCAGATGTTACCTTTGTAGACTATGGTCTTCTGTGAAGTTCATAGAAGATAACTATTTCTGCTAGACTTGTGTTTGTTTTACCAGATGCTTCATACGATAATCTAAATTATGCAATTAAAAGTTCACTTGCTTTATACTTAAAGCCAAGCCCAGGCAGCTTAGCAACTCAGTGAGATTCCATCTCAGAACAAAATATAAAATAAAATAAAATTGTATAATGCTAGGAATGTAGCTAAGCGCAGTGACCCTGGGTTCAGCCCCCAATATCACACACAAAAGAAACTCCACAAAACATCACACCTGAATTAAGTACTCCATTGGAACCACGAAGCTCATAACTGGTACTGCAGAAAGTCAGTAGTGACACGGACGGAACACGAGGAGCTCTTCGGAAGCCAGCAGAAAGGGGAAAAATGCATAAACAAGACGAAAAGCAATTTTTCAATAGATTGACCATCTTAGCAGTATCTTCAGTAATTTTTATTCCTACAAACTTTTTCATTTCTAAACTTTCCGTGATATACATGGAGAACTGTAACAATTAAAGAAAAGTGAGGCTGGCCAAATAACTCAGCGGATTAAAGTGCCTGCAAACAGGCTCAGGGGCTGGGAGTTCGATCCCCCGGGCCTGCCGTGCTGGCCCCCGACCGCCCCCCTGGGGCGCGCTGAGATGGCAATTGAGACTGGGCATGGAGGCATGCGCCTGTAATCCCAGCTCTTGGGAGGTTGTAAACAGGCAGATCACTACAAGTCCAATCTAGTAGTGAGACCCTAAATGCTCTGCAGACCCTTCCCTAAAATACACACACACACACACACACACACACACACACACACACACACACAGTGAATTAAACTTTTTTAAATATACGCCTTAAATTGTTCCAAATCTTGTTTTCGAGCACAGACCCTAGCCATTGAGCCCGCCCCCAGCACCACCGTCCTTCCCCCCCCACCCCACCCCCCAGCTCAGCAGGCTAGCCCAACTCTCCCAAACCCGCTGGATTAGCAATCATTGAAGCATTTTGCTCGCATAATGTGACTCGATCTAAGTATGATCTCAAAATTCTGAGTAAAATCAGGAGCACTGGGAGCCAAGCAGGACACCGTGTCCTTCACACCCTGTGCCTCGCAGCACGATGAGGTGCGTGTGCCTTGTCCAGATGCCTGCTACGGTACCAGGGAGGGCCAATTCTCGCCTAAAAGCACACTTTTCTGAAAAAGAATGAGAAAGTGTTCATAGGCTACTGAGCGTAGATGGGCATGGGTGCTCTGCCCCGGCTCCTGCAGCCTACTGCCCGGCCACTCTGGGCATGTTTCCATGACTGCAGTGAGGGTTTGAAGCTGCAGCTGGCTCTGTTGGCATGTAGTGCTATTTCTCTTCTCTCTTCCCCCGATTTGCAAACTGGTTTCTTCTTAAATCCTCCATGAGACGTCACATGAGTGCATTTTGTTTCCTTGATGAAAATAGAGATGCAGCACCACTGTTAGACTTGAAATCACCAGGTGGTACTTGGAAGCAGAAAGAAAGATGCTGTTGCCAGGGTAACCACACATCCTTCCAGTGATAGGAAGAGCTGCCACATTTCCTGTGCTCTAGGGAATATATGTTATAGAAGGGTTGGCTTAGTTCATATGAATATGTACTATTTGAAAAGAATACCCATCTTTTCACAAACCTACAAAACACATTTTGATTACTCTCATATGTCCCTTGAAGCCGTTTTATCTTCAGGGCACCAGGTCTCATCTCTCTTGCCAACAGAACTGTAATATCCAGTAATCACTAGTGCATATGCTACCTCTCGCGTAGTGGTGCAGCTCATTTTACACATTAGATAGATTCATTTTAAATATGCAACTAGAGTGTATTATTTAAAGAATGATGTAAAGTGCATATTTACAGAATGTAGTCCTTATTTCCAACCATGGTAGAATCTGAAATATACACACTAACTTGAGAGATCCCAGAATTTCAGCAGACTTGACAGATCTTCCTGGTCCTTTAGGGCAGGGCAGCAAAGAACCAGCAGCCCCTCAACACCCTTAACAAAGCAAATACCAGCAGCAGCAAATACCCCTCCTTCCTCCTTCCCTCCCTCCCTCCCTCCTTTCCTTCTCTCTTTTCTTCTTTCTTGCCTTCCTGCCCTCTTTCCCCATCTCCTCGCTCCCTTCCTTCCTCCCTCCCTGCCCCTCTCCCTCCCTGTATCATCTATTCACTGAGTTCTTTTTCTGCACTAGGAAATGTGGCAGGTGCAAAGAGAGTTCATACAGAGTCAGCCCCAGCAACAGAGGTGTGGGTAATGTGGTAGGCTTGCTAGCAACTGTACTCCATTTTTTATATCACTCTCCAAAGTGGCATTGTCAGTGGACATCTTCTGGGGTTGGAATGTACGATTTTTCCTGCATTACATCCTCACACGCTTGGTCCTAGCGTCCAGGTGATTTGTCCCACTTTGCTTTCATAGTTTGTGTTTTGAACACTGCTTAAGAAATCCTTACCAATCCCAACAACATAAAATATTTTCTTTTAGACATTTAAAAGTTGTGCTTTCACATATAGACCTTCCACACACCTGCGGTTGATTTTTGTATTACAGTGCAAAGGAAGGGCATACTTCCACAGTTTTTCCTGTACAAATAACCAGTTCTATCAGAATCTATTGTTGAATCATCAAACTTCTGTGTCTCCTCAAATACACATCAAGTTTTATATTTCTATCTATCGTACATGGATCTGTTTCTTAATGCCTATTCTGTCCCCTCAGCGTACGTCTATGCCTTTGCCCGTTACCACCCTACCCTGATAACAACTTCAGATTGGGAAGTTAAATGTCTATTAAAGTAAAACTCTATACTTGTGCTCCTAAGTTATCTATGACATTTTTGGCCCTTTGTTCTTCTGTGTAAAATTTAGGATAGGCTTGTTTAGCCCCTCTGTCATCATGAGTATCTGATGCTGTGAATCATGCAGCTGGATTTTTGTATGCAAAGGTTAACCAAAACATACTATCTGCTAATTAGGAGCTTGACTGCAAAATTGTATATGTAAGTAAATCCTAAACATGCCATAGCTCCAAATCATATCAAAAATGAGGGCTGTATCCCTTTGGTTGATCATGAACACGGGCAGGCTAGGGTGTGTCCTGGACGAGGAGTAGCCGCTCGCCCTGCCGCGTAACCCTGCCGCCAGTGCCCAGGGACACATCACGCTCTGCCTCCTGGTCAGTGCAGCACCTGGCAGTGGGTCCTGAAGTTCTTGAAGGCAGGAGAAAGAAACTCCTACCCCTGGGCAGATGGGGCAGAAGTAAAAAGTCCCCCTCGTCTACTCTGTTCCCCTCACCCCAGGAAGCCTGCCCCCCCAGCCCTCGACATCAGCCCCACGCCCGGAGCAGGGCTTCGTCCTGGCACATGTTGAGGAAGCTTAGGCTCGCCACTCGCCTCTTGCAAAGTATGCTAATGTTAGATGTATCTTCACACTCTCCTGGCATGTCTACTATATGACAGCATTTACAGAAACTTTTTTAATTATAATGAAGTTATTAAAATAACTTTGAAATAGCAATTTCTTCATTAAATCCTGGGCATAAACTGTGAGCACGACGACCTGTGAGGTGCTGTAGAGCACTTGTGTGCCTTATTTCAGATGATCTTTAGAGCGATCTCGCGGAGCAGGCGACAGAAGCCGGAACGCACAGGTGAGGGGTGCCTCAGGAGCACCGGCGGCGCGGCAAGGTGAGGAAGGTGCGCTGCCAGGTCTTTTCACATGCCAAGGTCCGCGCTCCACCCGTAATACCACAGGGATATCTGCGTACAAGTTTTAATTGTCCATGTAATGAAAAATTCAGTCATTATTTGAGATGCATGAAATGTCCAAACTATGCCAAACACTGGATATTCTTAGAAGCAGCTCAGCGCTCACCTGAGCGCAATCACTCGCTAAAAAAAAAAAAAGGAAGAAAAAATTAAAGTGTTGAAAATAGCTAGGGACTTCACAAGAAGCAAAACCAAAGAGGAATTCGCAATGCAGGCCAGGGAGGTAGCTCCGCGGTCTGAGCTCCTGCCTGGCTAGCTCAGGACCTGGGTTCAATCACTGGTACCACAGGCCATGCTGGCAGCAGAATCCAGGCATACCAAGCTGGCCAGGAGAGCAGGTGTGGTGGTGCACATCAGTAATCCCAGCAACGGGGAGGCTGAGACAGGAGGATCACTAGAGTCAGAACTACATAGCAAGACCCCTGTAAATGCGAGGTGCTCCAGCTGCTTTGAATACCTGCAGGTATGTTAACTATGACATATTTTTCCCCAAGTGTTGGTTGCTTGTTTGTTCATTTTGTTTTGTTTTGTTTTGGTACCAGGAATTGAAGCCATGGCCTCACACTGGCCAGGCAGGCCCCGTGCTGCTAGCTGCATTCTACGCAGTCCCAAGGGCTGTCAAGTCTTTATGTCTGAGCATGTGTATAATCTGAGCTGAAAACACTAAGAATTTTAAATCAGCCCAAAAGGTCCTCTAAGTTGGTACAAATGGCCAAGCAGCAGCTCCCAGCACAGACGTCTTCTAAAGTAGGCCGCACCACTTAGCACACGTAGATAAGCAAGCAAAGCATGTTTTATAATTTTAGTAGTGGTTAATCTTATGGGAAATGTCAGGACAGGTCATTTTATAATCAATAAAATGTGAGAAGTCTGATTCTCTTCCACAGAGCCTTCGGCTAGCCCAATAGGACAATCTCCGAACTTCAGTTTTCCAGTTTATAAAAACTGAGGAAATTGTCATAACCATCTCAAAAGACCACGATGTCTACATGTGATAACACATTTGAAAGTGTTCTAGGACCTGTAATGAGTTAAGTACACGTTTGTTACTCCGCAGAAGTTTGATAATCAGAATGCCTGTCTCTAGAGCTGCACTTACACCACGAGTGAAGTGAACATCAGGCTCCTAATTATTTCAGAAGGCCAGGACTCAGGCAGAGATGGGAGTGACACAGAGCTTTCTGCGTGAAGAGGAGCAGAAGCAGAACAACAAAAGTTACCTGTGTCCCTAAGAATAGAAACAAATAGGCCAGGGAGATAGCTCAGGAGAATAAGCGCCTGCCTGGCAAGCACAGGGTCCTGAGTTCAATCCCTGGTACCACAAATAAATAAATAAGAAAGATAAAAACAAATACATTTGAAACAATGAATGCTTTCTGTGCCTTCCTCCAGGCGACGTGCTCGTGGTGGGAACCCCAACTTTATGGCCTCATCTGATCTGCCAAAGTGGAGGACCCCACTCTCTAGCTGAAGAATGTGAGGAGGAGCTGTCAAAGAACCCAGGCTTCCAGCTGTGTTGGAGGGCGCCCAAACTGTAATGCGATTTTAGTCTATTGCACGTTCAATGAGGAATTTAACATAATAATATTGAGGGAGATATTAGATGAGCAAGGAGAGAAGCCAAGATCTACAGATCTCGTGAGACTCCTGATGCGAGTCTCGGTCAGCACATGGCCCGGCGCCAGCCAGTCTTTTCCAGAGTGTCCAGTCTTTCAGCAACAGCCTGTGCACCATTAGAAATAAATGTATCATGTTAAATCATGAGGACACGTAGGAAAAAAATCACTGATATTCCAGTATCTAATATTCTGGTGGTGTTCTTTTTGTTTCTAGGCTCAGGTAAGGTTCAGCCAAACCTTACTCCTAGGTGTAGTAGTTTAATACAATAGCAGAAAAAAGAAAAAAAAATAGTCTTAGAGTATCAGTGAGACCCCTGGAGATTATCTTAAACAATAATTAGTAAACAACCTTCAGATGCTAAGATAAAAAGCGCTCGACTATCTTTTCCCCAGATCCAACTATTTATGAAGCAGACGCAGACTGAAGAGAATGAGCATCATTCCTGAGCTGACGTATATGAAGTAAAACTCGGAAACTTTTCTTCATGGGCTGGGGAGATAGCTCAACGGCACAAGTGCCCGCCTAGAAAGCTCAAGGTCCTGAGTTCGATCCCAGCCTGTCTTCATGACTACTAACTACAGTCAGCGTGTGGTTTATGTCTAGCACCAAGTGCCGGGTGGAGGGCAGAGAAGGCCGAACTCCACTTGCCAAGCCCTCGTGCTGGCATGGGCTGTGGCCACCCCGAGGCCAGGGCCATGCTGAGCCATAGTCTCCAATGTCTGAAGGTGCCGTATAACAAACCTGGATCCAGCAGGGCCTATGGGCCCAGCTGCCTGCCTCAGTAGTGATTCTCCAGGTAACATGAGAAAAGGATCATCTTTTCTCGTTCCCTTCAGAGCAGTCTCTTCTCCCTGTTAAACTACAAATGCCTGATCACCCCACACAGACTGCAGCGCATCCGTGCTGATCCGTCCTCATCTTCACTTGTAAGTAGCAGAAGCAAGCCGTCACGGAGCGCCGCCTCTGCCTACGCTGGATCGACATCCTTCCCACTTCACTTTCGCCCCCTCTTGTCCTCCAGCCGTGGCCCCACCTAAGGGAAGCACCTATAGGACTCTCCACGGGAGGGGATTAAGCCTCAAGACCTGTTCTCTTTTAACTTTCACAAGTCCTGTGTTGCTTAGGTTGTCACGTGGTGTTGGCATCCTCAGATGCAAAGAGAAGATCTGCGTGATGTTGTACGTACTTAAGCTGAGACGCATATACGATAAGCGCAGGCCCAGCATGCGTCTAAGTGATCTCTTCACAAGTGCGTGTTCAGGGAACCTTCAAGAGTTGTTCACCGTCTTTGACACTTACACACAGAAATCACCCAGTGAGTGAAACAGAAACAGGCAGCGAGTTGGGCAATCCGGGGCCAGAGTCCAGACCCTGGCCAGACTAGCTTGCGGAGAGAGCTCCCCTCATTGCCACAGAGCAGGGGCCTCTGATGAATGTGTTTCCCAGCATTCTCTTCCTGCATTAAAAGCAGACACAGTATCTACATCTCTGATACTCTGCTCTAATACATGTCTAAGAACATAGTAGAGGGCCATATTGGCAAAGTAAGTAAAGTCCAGCTGAGAAGGTGTTTACTGCACTTATTAGAAAACATGACTTTGCAGACTACTTTGAAATATTCAACAGAAAATAAAACGCTCACAGCCTCAGCTCGTCACCTTCTGGGGCCACATGGTGCAAATACCCCACATTTTCAATAATCTTCATAATAAGCGAAGGCATTCATCAACTTCACTCTTCAACTAGATAGGTAAATAGGGAGGGAAGGAGGGAGGGAGGAAGGGAGAGAGAGAGAGAGAGAGAGAGAGAGAGAGAGAGAGAGAGAGAGAGAGAGAGAGAGAACCAAAATACTGGACCTCAGGAAAAGAAAAACTTGCATAAATATTGTAATACTAAACTTAATGAGACATTACCAGATTTAATGCAAGTTAGTTACCTTTGGCCTCTACCATTACAAGAGGAACTCAAAGTGGTGATCATTAATTTCCAAATGTTTGTTAGTATGGTGAACTGCTAAAGCGTGCATACATCTTTTTGGTGGAGTGTGTGTGTGTCAGTGAGCACACACGTGCTTGGGCATGTATTCACATTAGAAAACAGATTAAGTGAAAATTTTCTAGGCTTGTTTTTCAACAACAACAAAAAAAGGAGGCCGGCCCTTACCTGGACTGACCTACAAAGCTTACTCTTCAGCATTACGATGACTATGGTCAGGCTGGGTCACTCATAGGAAGGAAATGAGGTTGCTGCCTTCTAGACACATGCCCTTCTAACTTTTCTAAACAAAATTTCCAAGAAAGAGGGGTTTCCTAATCACTAAGCCAGTACTCCAAATGAACGCCTTAGTGTTGTCCAAGATGTGCAGGAGGACACACGTGTAAAGGTGCCAACAGTTCCAGCATGTTCCAGGCAGTTATACTCAGCCTATAATCTCCTAATGTGAAGCATAATGAGAATGATGGTCGGCTTAGGACCCACGTGATGAAGTTCTGAGGGAGGGCTGGAGGATGGACTAACTTCTGGCTTCCCCAAAGCTCGCAATGTAGATTATGCCCTAATGGGTTAAAAACCTAAGTGCTAGGCACTTGCCGATAGCACATCTGGAAACACTTCATCCTGGAACTGTTGTGTAATGAGGTGCTAACCGGGCCAACGCTAGTTCGCCCCCCACTGCGATGTGTATCCTGGACTTCACCCCCTTCCAGTAGCAAGTTCAAATACCAGAACAGCTTGTCCAGGGATCCTGTTGGCTGGAATGTGCTTGTCTTGGAAAGCTGGGGACTAAACCATGCTCATCCCAAGAACATCAGACCCTGCAAAGAAAGGCAGCCGGCCGGTGCGCGTTGAGTGTCACAGAGCCGCTGGGTCTCAGATTCTTACCCTCTCCCGAGAGCAAGCCCATCTCCTCTCAGGCATTGCCTGTGAAACAAAAGGCAATAAGCAAGAAGCTGTAACAAATCCTAACCAAACAGTGAACACACC